CAGACATATTGATATAAAAATAAATATAAAAGTCATTAATGGAAATACATAATAAAGAAAATATAAGTAATCCTTCATCCCTTTTTAATTAATTAAAAAAATCAAATAAGATACATTTAGTCACTATCACTCTCGGTTAAGTAATTTGGAACTTCTTCTTTCGATGTTTCCGTTCCATCAAACTCTTCCTCTTCATCATCATCCTCATCCACACATTCCTCCTCTATCACATATGGCAATTGCATGACCTCACTGATCACCACTTCTTCTCCCCCTTGAGATGCTAATGAAACATGATCATTTAAAACAGTCGAGGGTTGCACCAATTGTGGAATAGGAGGATCATTGTCTTGATAATAAACATTTCCATCGTCACTCAATGATGAAGTGTCAATTATTGCTCTTGCTCTAATCTTACATGCAGCAAACCACCCTTTTCTACAAGGATTTTGAGATGGATAACGGGCATAAAACACTTGTTGAGCTTGACTAGCCAATATGAATGGTTCATCTGTTTGTAATTTAAATCGAGGATTTATGTCAACTATACTAGATGTCGGTTGGACCACAATGCCTTTGTTGATATCATACCACTCACACTTGAACAAAATCACTGATTGATGAACATATGAGTCAAAATACGAAAGCTCAATTATTTCCTTCAAACTCCCATAATAATTTGACTCATCATTGAAAGTGGTTCCCTTCACACAAACACCGTTATTCATGGTCTTTTTATTTTGTCCATATGTGATAGTATGAAACCGAAATCCATTAACCCAATAACCATTGTATACCCTAACATTATTGACTGGGCCAGTTACTAAAGGCAAAAGGCGAGAATCAACCTCATATCTTCCACTATGTACCTAGATTTGTTATAAAAATATTTAATATTTAATCTTAAAATATATAAAAATTGAGATCTTACTAATAAAGATTATTAAAATAAATTACTTACCGTTGTCTTAAACCAAAGAATAAATTGAAGTTGCCGTTTGATTTGAATTTGATCCTCTGATAAACTGGAACATGCTTGATAATCAAAAGGCCTACATAAAGAAGTTGGAGCAAACAATCTAAACATACTAGTAACTTAAACAAATAAAAGTTAGAACTAGAGAACATACGCAATCCATGGATTAACTTCTTCACAATTAAGCAAAACATAAAGTTCTGCTGCCTTTAATTCTTTGGGTGACAATGCACGCATATGCATTTCTCCACCTAGTGGTTGACCTCAATGTTTAAAGACAGACAAATAATTATCCATATCATCATTCATGCTGACAATGTTTCTTGGTTGACGATTCAATCTTGTCTCTATGTTAGATCCAAAATAATGCGAGCAAAAGAAGGAAATTTCTGAAAGAATATTAGACTCGCAAATTGAAGCTTCAACACAATTTTTGTTCAATATTGTTTGCTTAAGGTCATGCATTTTTCTATTAAACAAATAAGAAAATTAATTAATAACATTAAATTATTAAATATGCTCATGAATGTTATTGTGATGCAAAGATATATTAGAAGAAATATACCTTTCAAAAGGATACATCCAATGAAATTGGATAGGTCCTTTAACTTTTGTCTCATATGGTAGATAGATAGCCAAATGCTCCATCAAGTCAAAGAATGCTGGCGAGAATACTTTCTCTAACTTGCAAATGGTCTCAACAATTTTTCCCTCCCACATCTTCATGTTACTGATTTGAATAATTGGAGCAATTAAAGCTCTAAAAAAGTTACTCATCTCAATTAAGGGACCCCAAACTTCATCTATAAGGAAATCACGGAAAGCAATTGGCAAGAGACGCTGCATGAATACATGACAATCATGATTTTTCATCCCAAACAATCGAAGTTCCTGCATGTTAACACATCGTGCTATATTGGATGCATATTCATCTAGGAATCTCAATTCCTTTAGCCACTGACAGATAAGAGCTCGTTGCTCTCGAGTAAGAACATATGAAGCATTAGGTTTTATAGCTGTTCCATCATCTTGAGGTATCAATTCTAATTCAGATCTATTGTAATACAGTTGTAAATCCAATCTAGCGTTAGTGTTATCCTTCGTACAACCCTTGTCATCCATGACAATATTTTTAATGTTATCTAAAAAATTCTTCTCACAATGCATGACATCAAGGTTAAGACGAATCAATAAATCCTTCCAGTATAGCAATTCTCAAAATATACTACATTTCACCCAATTATGAAAAACACCAAATCCTGCAATTAAATGTTTACGAAGTGGCTGGCCAAAAACTATGTCAGGAAGCTGATTAACCCTTTTTTCCATCAAAGTACCATCTAGTTTTGGGGGTGGGGGGACGGCTTTTTTCAACTCTATTGAGATAAAAAAATTTCTTATCTCTACGAAATGGATGTTTAGGAGGTAAAAATTGACAATGACAATCAAAAAATGATGTTTTCCTCCCATATTGAAGTTGAAAAGCCTCAGTGTTCTCCATGCAATAAGGGCATGACAACTTCCCATGTGTGCTCCATCCAGATAACATGCCATAACCTGGAAAATCACTTATAGTCCATAGCAATGCAGTTTTCATGATAAAATTCTATTGTCTAAAACTATCATAAGTTTCAACCCCATTTGTCCACAATTCCTTAAGTTCGTCAATTAATGGCCTAAACATGACATCAATGTTTTGTCTTGGACTTTTAGGTCCAACAATTATCATGGCAAGAAATATATGTTTTGACTTCATACACAATTCAGGAGGAATGTTGTACACTGTAAGAAAAACAAGACAACAAGAGTAAGGCGTTACAGAGCAACCAAATGGATTGAAACCATCTGTACAGAGGCCAAGTCTAACATTTCTAGGTTCATTAGCAAATGTTGGGTGGGTTTCATCAAAGTGTTTCCATACCTCACTACCCGTAGGATGAATAACTTCATCCGCATCCTCACGGCATTTCAAATGCCATGTCATATGCTCTACTGTTTTTCTAGACATGTATAGTCGCTGCAATCTTGGGGTAATTGGAAGCTGCAATGTTGGGTAATTGGAAGGTACCACAAAGATTTCCTTGGAACATCTTTCTGCCTTATAGCAAACATATTCCTTGGCTCATAACGAGATTCTCCACACACTGGACAAGCAGTTAAATTCTTACTTTGCTCATCATAGTACAAGAAGCAATCATTGACACAAATATCAATTTTCTTGTACCCAAATCCAGGCACATTTATCATTTTTTTTTGCACTATAGAAATCCTTTGGCACCTTTTCTTGGTCCTCTGGACTCAACAACTTTCGACTCAATGACAATGCCATTTCCCAATTAGCAGCACTCATATTATAAAGAGTTTTCATGTTTAGTATTTCTGCCATCCATGAAAGTATTGTAACATCTTGTCCCCCAGCACCTATATGAACTTCTGCAACATGCAAGAGATCATAAAATTCTCTTGCCTTACTATTTGGCTCCTCAGCCATTGGCCCGTCATTGTATTCAGACTATGCACCCATTGCATCAACTACCATTTCATGGTATAATGCATCTACCTCATTTCTAACAAACTCCATATTAGAAGATTCCCCTTCAAAGTTTCTTACTGAATTACTAGATGTCTCTCCATGAACATACCATGTATAATAATTATTCATAAACCCATGCTTACACAAATGCACAGAGACCACCACAGGATTCCCTCATTTTCTACACTTACATTTCGAACAAGGACACTTAATCTCTTATTTTGCTTTTGGTCTTGAAAATGCAAATCTCACAAAAAATTGCACCCCCTCTTTAAATTCATCAGTAGCAAAACCACTATCATCCACACGACGATCTATCCAACTACGGTCGTCCATCATTTAATTACCTAATTTGAATTTCAATTTGACAAAGTATATTAACATATCAACTAATAACCATATATATCAATAACCACATATGTTAATCTTAATCTTAATAGTTTTAAATTAAATTTCTTTATGTATATGAATTCAATATATAAAAATACTACTATATTTCAACAATCATACATATATTAATCTTAATACAAATAATTTAGTAACTTTATAAATATATATTAAATATAAATAGTACTCTAGTTTAATTACCATATCAATTTTAATCTTAATAATTTGATATATAAAATTCAATTTAAATATCATTTTAATTCAATAATAATGCATATCTCAATCTCAATACCAATCTCTTAAACTGAGTTAATTTGAAATAAATAACAAATTTGTAGCTATAGAATTCAAAATAAATATCACTTTATTTCAAGATATTTAAACCTCAATCTCAATCTTAATTTCAAATTTAATAATCTAAAATCCATAACATATGAATTTCAATCTCAAAAACTTGAAAGAAATAATAGCAATTTACTGATAATTTATACAATAATAATAATAATCTACACTAATTTACAAATAAAACAATAAAATTTTGTATAAAAAAATCACAAAAATATCAATTACCTTTGTCAATGGGGACCGTAATGCTGTGGAGGCAATGAAGGCAATAAAAGCTGGATTTTGACATACCAAAAACGAAATTAAAGTTTTGTAAACTAAAATCCAAGGAAAAAATAAGGAAAGAAACAAAAAAAAAAAAATAGAGAGTGCTGCAACTTACAAAAGGCAGGATGGAGGCACGTGGAGGCTTAGAGGTGATGGATCTTGCACCAAAACGCACGGATCTACAAGGAAATCTACAAATGCCCGAATGTAAATCAAAGGAAAAAAAAAATTAACACCAGATCTGCACAGAGAGGGGCCAACTCACCAGCCAGATATTCTGATAGTAGGGGGCTCAATGGCAAGAAGCCAGAATCCAGTGGCACTGGCAAGAACAGGGTCAGAGAAAATGAACCAGATCTGCCACAGGGAAAGAAGAAGAAATGGGGAAAGAAAGGGGGGACGGGGGGGGTTAATGTCGAGTATATTCGATAGCATTGCAGTCAAATATATAAGGGAAAAGCCGACGTTTCCTCTATATTCGACAGCAATATTGTCGAATATATAAAAAACATAATCAATAGCCTGTTGGCTATTGATTATACATATTCGACAGCCAATTGGCTGTCGAATAAAATCATATATTCAACAGAATAATTGTCGAATAAGTTTTTTGCCGATTATGAGCCAAAAAATTGATTATCATCGACAATTAACCTTATTCGACAGTAATGGTGTTGAATATGGCCTTTTATTCGACAACTACTTGGCTATCGAATATGTTTTTGTCGTTTTTGCCTAGTTTTTCAGTAGTGACATCAACCTCCGCTTAAATCTGAAAACATTTTGCAAGTGTAAAATTTTGCTTCAATCCGATTGCTTACGGTTTTGACTTTGATAACTAGTCTTTTGGAGGCTGTATAGAAGGGTCATTGCGTCTAAAAGATGGATGTTGCAATACAAGCTTATAGAGCATGATGATCATAGTTCATAATTTGATAAATAAATGTTATGATGGCAACATTACATTGAAACATTAATTTAAGAACGGGCTATATGCAACTGGTTTCCATATCTGCTCTTTTTTATTTCAAGAAGAATTCATTCATTGGTAATTATCCTTCAAAAATCACCTTTGAATTTTATAATGTGTAAATGGTAAAACTTTTGGTACAAAGGCATTAAAAGAAGGATGATTCTTCAGTTTATGGTAGAAATTAGGAGAAGTGCATATCCTAACCTTTTGGGCAAGCTATATTTTCCTTTGCCTTGGTGGTCAAATTTTATCTCATTAGTGTCTTCTTCTAGGGTACCTAGTTGTATGATCCAAATGCTAGTGGGTGGCGTGATCTGGGCATGCTTGATGATATGCAAGTACTGCTGAGTCTTTTTATTCTATTTAACATGTGCTGCATAGGTTTTAGTTTAGTGCATGACCAATTGGCATTCTTTTGATGTCTATTCTAGATCTTTGGAAGGGCAGGTAGACCTCAGTTTGACAAAGGTGTTGAAGGCATCATAATTACTTCTCATGACAAACTGGCCTACTACCTAAGGTTGTTAGCAAGTCAACTCCCTATAGAAAGTTAGGCACTTGCTTATAGTTTGATGGGCTTAAGAATTTTCAAGCTTTTTTAGATGTGGAGGCCCTACCACCTTATATTTGAAAATAATTTGGAAATATTCATTTACAAGTGAAAGATGTTGTCCATGCTCAGAGTTTCTCAACCCTTTATCATCTATAGATCTATTTTGATTTCATGTAATTTCTCTGTTTGTGGACTTTATCTTTGCATTATTGCCTTGGTCATGGTCTAAATAATTCTTCTGCAAAGGTTTGGCTATTTAGTGTTTGGCTTCTAGTCAACATATGCTCACTCCATAGGATAGCTGCTTTGAATATGCATATGCAGTCTTTTAAGGTTGAAAAACCATAATGATGCTAGATGACAAGGAAATACTAAACACTTGATTACATATTTAGAATACATGAAAACATGCTATTTGAATGTAACGGTATAAGATGGCAAGCTCCTGGATAATTAAAGGGCTAAAGTTTATATTCCAAATTAAAAACTAAGGGTTAATCTGGCTTAGGGTTCGTTTGGTGCAGCTTCCTAAGTGCTTCAACTTTTTGACACTATTCATGTTTCATAAGTTTAAATTTTCCTCTTAAAAACTTACTCTTTTAAATATATTTTTTTTTTTACTTTAAAAAGACCCTAAACAATAAAACATCAAAAGCTTCAAATTCAAACTTTTTATAAACTTCCTTTTTACTCACTTTTTACTTACTTTTTCCTATCTTTAAAAGCAACTTTTAAATTTTCTCTTAAATGAAAATTTAAACTCATCACTCATGAATAGTTTATAAAAAGTAAAAGCTCCAACAAACTGCACCAAACAGGCCCTTACTCTAATCCAGGCTTCTTTGTGATGTCTGGGGTTGCTGTGTTGCTGCTGACTTAGTTTTTCTGCAACTTGTCTATATTTCTTTTGTTGTGTGCTAAGTTTTAAA